ACTTCTGGGAGTGGTGCAGGGCTAGGGTGGGGTGAGCCTGCCTAAGCCCCACTGCCTGGGAGCCATCTGGGATAAGCAGGGCCTAGCTGGAGCCCATATCCAAACCCCTGCCTCAGTTCTGAACCTGCTCCTGCACCCCAACGCCCATCCTGGGCTCAACCCAGATCCCCTCCCACACTCTGAACCCATTGGCCCAATACCAGAGCCTGCACTGCTGCTCCTTGTCCCAGCCTGGGGAACGTGAGTGAGGGTGAGGAAGAATGGGGTGAGCGGCAGGGTTGGGCCTTGGAGAAGGGGAGGGGTCTTGGGGAGGTGGGGCAAAGGTATTTGGATTTGAGGTAGATCCTAGATTGCGTTTAAATTCAAAAAGTGACGATGTGCTGGAAAAGGTTGGAGACCCCTGGGCCTGAGCATTCTCAGTGCAGAGAGAGTCTCTGGGGATAAAAGCTGTGAAGCTCTGGCAAGTCTTCGGAGTATGTGCAAACTGCAACGCCCTTCCCCCAGCTCAAACCTTAACAACATTTCTGCAGATTTTTCACAGATGCGCAAATCCATCTTCCTGCCATAGATACATTCCCTCCTCCAAAGCAAGGGGGTGCAGGAGATTCTCCATCGAAGAGCTCTCCAAATTTTCCCTTACACGATGTATTTTCCCCTACCTTTGTTCTCAGCAATGGCTGAAACATAAAATAATAATAATAAAGCATGAGACAGACATGTGGCTTGGGAGTTTACACGCTGATTGGTTGCAATTGACAAAGTTATTAGTAACTGAAACAGGGTCTTGTACATGATGTCTGCACTGCAGTTAAAGACCCATGGCTGGCCCAGGTCAGTTGGCTTGCACTTGCGGGGCTGTTTAATTGTGGTGATGTTCAGGCTTGGAATAGAGCCCAGGTTTTGGGACCTTTCCCACTTGTGGGACTAGAAGCAGAACTCTGTGTAAGCTTGTTTGTCACAACAGAAGTTGGTCCAATAAAAGCTGTGTACTAACTCGCCTTGTCTCAACTCTGAGGGAGGCAGAAATGGAGAAGGAGCAATTGTCCTGGCCTACCGAGTGGTTTAATGTTTTCTAGTGGGATCAGGCTGCAGCACAGATTCTGCAGGACAGATTGAGGCTTGTGGGCCATTCAGGAATTTGTGATAGTGATGCTTTCACTGGGGCTGGGGTTTGTTTGCAGGATTTGGAGCAGTATGCATCTAGTTACAGCGGACTGATGCGGATTGAACGTCTGCAGTTCATCGCTGACCACTGTCCGCAGCTGCGGGTGGAGGCCCTCAAGATGGCACTGTCATTTGTCCAAAGAACTTTCAATGTTGATGTATATGAAGAAATCCACCGAAAACTGTCTGAGGCCACCAGGTACCAAGGGTGATGGGGACTTGGAGTGCTGCTTTGACCATCTGGGGGGAAATGCAGTACAGGGAAACCTCTGTGAAAGGGGAGATTGTGTGCAACAACAAAGCCTCCTCCTGGTGATTAACGGGGACTCTGACATCAGACTCCAGTGAACTGACCTTCCCTGCCCCTGGGCTCAGTGCTTTCTTGGAGATGAAATGCCCAAGGTTTGTCCTCTCGCTACTCTTTCACATTAGTAAAGATTAAACATGGATATTGAGGACAAGCTAGATCTTGTAGCTGTTCTCAGACAACTTATGTACACAGGTCTGTGCCTCGGGGAGATATGGAAATTCAGCTTCTACTGGGTGTTCTGCACCCTCTGGTCAAAACTCCTCATTAAATGTTCACTTCTCAGAGTTATTCTTTCACAGATTGCAACCTTGCTTATGAGGCTTTGGTTGTTAGCAATTAGTCTTGATCCTTTCCCTTATTAATCCACAGTCCCCATCTTCATCTTTACCCTGCTGTGATCTGCATTGGATGGGACCCTTTTACTGTGTGTAGAATCTTACTGCCTTGCATGGCAATGTATTTCTTGTAGGGATATGAACAACTAGTCAACTATCCGAGAAGCAAATGTTTATCCAGTAGTCAACAGACTAGTCGCTTCCCTTCCCTTCCCTTGGTGCCTCTGGCAGAAAGAGGCAGCACGGGGTGGGGAAGAGAAGGGGGAGCTTCAAAGCTGCAGCACCTCATGGAGCCTGGGCCAGACCCCAGGCTCCATGTGGCACTGCCATTTCGAAACCTCGTGTGCAGCCAAGGGACAGCTGAGAGCCCGGACTGCACATGGCATTTCAAAGCGGTGGAGCCCGGGGTCAGATGATTTCCCTGCTGACTCTGGGCTCCACATGGCACTGCCACTTTGAAACAACACGTGAAGTCTGATGCCAGGCTTCCCGTGGCGTTTCAAAGCGGCAGCACCACATGGAGCCTGGGTCAATTGGGGACTCAGAGTCCCTAGCTGACCCTGTGCACCCGACAGCACTTTTGCCTTTGGAAGTGTAGCTGCTACATTTCAAAGGTGGAAGTGTCCTTATCAGCTAATCGAATAGTCAGTGTAAATTGCATCAACTATTCGATTAGTGAAATAATCGAAATTTTACATCCCTAATTTCTTGCAGGTGTGGGAGGAAATGTCAGTGGACCAGAATGGGGTTTAAACTGGTTTAATTGACCTAAATCCTGGGAGAGGAGAATTCAATTCAAGCAGGAATCCCAGATCTAAGTTAGTGGAATTAGGCCATTCTCTCTCTCTCTAGCTACTTTGCCATTAGTGGCTGAGCTATGGGCACTTCATTTAAAGACTGGGGCTATTGTGGCCTTTCATTAGCTAGTCCTGAATCCATTTGCCTGTTGCTGTCCAACTGGTAGAGATCAGCAAGGGCGAGAGCAAAGTGTAGGGCAATGTGCATGCTGTGCCTCTGGTGTGCAGGTGCTTGCGGTAGGTTGGGTGATTCTCGGTGCTGGTGACGTGGGCTAGTGGCTCTCAGCACTGTTACTGACTTGCTAGGGTTGGGTTTATAGACCAGGCTCACTCTCTTTTTTTCAGTTAGCCAGAACATGTTTATTCAAACGTGACTGTGAAAGTTTCGCTTTTGGGAGGAGGGAGCCAGTTAAAAACCTGTGACAAAAAAGGCAGCTTTTAAAATCTTGTTAGAATGGCTTTTCGCTACTGATGGGGGCTTTCCTTTTCCTTTTGTCTCCTTATCGTTGAAATGATTCCATTTGTCATGCATGGGGCTGAGTGCCCTGAGAGCTGTGCTGCATACTGAGCAAGTCCCAGCCTAGGAGAGACTATAATTTAGCAGCCCAGTTCCTACTCTTTGGCTTGACTTTCAGAGAGCTGCAGAACACCCCTGATGCTGTCCCTGATGGTGGGATTGAGCCCCCTCCTCTGGATACAGCGTGGGTGGAGGCCACTCGGAAGAAAGCCCTCCTCAAACTGGAAAAGCTGGATACGGATCTGAAAAACTACAAAGGCAATTCGATCAAGGAGAGCATCAGGTGAGGAGGGGAAGGCTCATCTGGGGTGGGAAAGACCGTCCTGCTCCCCTGGCAGAATGCAGCTCTGGGCCCGGATTGCATAGATGGGGCTGGGTCCAGTGCCTGTTGGCGTGGCATGAGCAAGCTTAGTGCCGCTCCTTCCCACAGTCAGTGGGGCCCTGCCCTTTTCTGAGATTTTTCTGCCCAAGGATGCAACTCACTGCTCTTCTCCTCTCCAGGAGGGGTCACGATGACCTGGGCGATCACTACCTTGACTGTGGGGACCTCAGCAATGCCCTCAAGTGTTACTCACGAGCCCGTGATTACTGTACCAGTGCTAAGCATGTTATTAACATGTGCCTCAATGTCATCAAGGTAGGGAGCCATGCAGTGAGGGAACCGTACACAATCCACAGGGAGTCCTTCATACTGTCTGTCGCTGAAATGACGTTGGTCAGCCACCAGGTAGCGCTATTTCCTTGTGGTCTGATTTCTGCCATTGCATTTGTTGCCTTCTTGCAGGTGAGCGTTTACCTGCAGAATTGGTCCCATGTTCTGAGCTACGTCAGCAAGGCGGAGTCCACCCCAGAAATTGCAGAGGTGAGAGGTTTCTTTCCTTACCTCTGCAGATGTTCCTCTGTCTGCCTTCTGCCTGTCCTGTCACAGTTGGCCAGGCCTCTCCTCTCCCTCCCCTCATGTTCTGTTGGACTTGCTTCATGCATGTTTCCTTCCCTCCTTGCCCAAATTCACATAAGCCAACATTCTCCACCAATCAAACTCTCTGGCCCAGTCTGCTAGGTGAACACTCACCTCTCTGGGTTCCACCGCCCCTTTTAGCTCCTGGAACATTCCCTGTCCTCTGCCCTTTGTTTGCCATTAGCCATGAGAGGGCCCTGTGTGAATGGTGTCCTTGTGGCCATCCCTACGGGTGGGGTGAAACGATCTCCCTCTTGAGAAGGCCGGCTACCTTCCCAAATGACTCCCTAGTGTGAGGTGGGGTCTCTGTGGCTCAGCTCCTAGAGCAGACCGGTTTCCCCCAGTAGGGCTAAAGCAAAGAGCTAGGAAGGGATCTGTGCTAGTCACTCACTCCTGCTTCTTTCTTCCTCTAGCAAAGAGGAGAGCGGGACAGCCAGACGCAAGCAATTCTCACCAAACTGAAGTGTGCAGCAGGTGAGTGAGCGGCTCTGCTTCCTGGATGCTACCAGGCAGCCTTCTTGCCTGTTTGCCAATCCGGGTGCTTCACTGACGTTGCACGTGCCTCTGCCCAGCCAAGGAGCACTTGGCATGCTCTCACGGGTCTCTGTGCGGCAGTTCTCGTGGCAGGAAGCAGAAGATGTAGAGCAGTTGACTGGATACAAATTTTGAACATAGACCCATCCTGAAGTTCCCATCCTGGCTGGTGTTGGCACTCCCTAAGCCTCTCAAAGCAGGGAGCCCTAGTGCAGTTAATTTCAGTCGCTGAATGTCCTGTGCTCAACTGACACAGCTTCTGCTTCCCTGAAATTGTTGGGGTACTCGCAGCTCCTCGGGACCCTGGTGCGCCCACGCTGCTCTTCCATAGTTCTTACTTGTGTCCTAACTAGTCCTGTTGTGGGGGTGGACAAAGCACTAACTCAGTCTGATTCCTAGGCTTAGCTGAACTAGCAGCACGGAAATACAAGCAGGCAGCCAAGTGCTTCTTGTTGGCCTCGTTTGACCACTGTGACTTCCCTGAGGTAAGAGGGCCAGGAGGGGCTGTGTGTAGGGCTCAGGAGAAGCTCTGTACAGTGTTGTCTGTGTTAGCTATTGATGGGCCCTCATCACAGTAGTATCTGAGCACGCAAGCTGTAATGCGTTTCTCCTCACAACACTCCTGTGAAATAGGTGAACTCGAATAGCCCTGTTTTACGGACGGGCAGCTGAGTTGCCGAGGAATCTGCCCAAGGTCACACGGGAAGTCTGGGGTGGATCAAGGAACTCCGTTTAGGGAAGTTCAGATAACCGAGTTGAGTGGGAGTCTGCGGGGCATTATTCCAGCTTGGTATTTGTCAAGGGCCAGCCTGTGTTCTTGCTGTGGGAGGGGAGGGCCGGGGGGCTTAGCTGTGCCTCATTTAGTGAGAGTTCAGTTCTGGTCTCGATCTATCTCTCTAGCTGTTATCGCCTAGCAACGTGGCTGTGTATGGTGGCCTATGTGCACTGGCCACTTTTGACCGTCAGGAACTGCAGCGCAACGTCATCTCTAGCAGGTGGGTGACCCTCGGGGATGAGTTTGTGGGGTGCTCGGTGGATTAAAATCTGTTATGCTGAGCCCTGCTTCTCAGCACACTTCCCTCAAGGGAAGCCGAGCAAAGGCTAGCATAGGGCAGACAGGTGCTGGCCACTTCTGACAGTATGGATGCCATCTTGGGCCTGACCTGACCTGCCCCACTCCATGTGCTTTCTCAGAACTTATGGAAGGGGACCAGTACAGGTTCTGGTAGGAGCACTCGGCTTTCTCTGACCCTGGCACCTTTGCTCTCCTCAGGCTACCCCTCCCCCACGTTCTAGCATGTTAACACATGGAGCATCACAGGGCAGTGGGGTGACTGTGTGAGGTGAGGCAGGGTGTGTCAGTGACAGGTCCCAGGGTCTGATCACTGCTCTGTCTACAGCTCCTTCAAACTCTTCTTGGAGCTGGAGCCTCAGGTGCGTGACATCATTTTCAAGTTTTATGAATCCAAATATGCTTCCTGCCTGAAGATGCTGGATGAGATGAAAGTGAGTCGGGGTTGGGGGAGCAGGGGACTGTGGGACATCTGGGTTTGGGGAGGGGAGATAACGCAGGGCTTGAGGGGTCTTACAAAAGCAATGACTGTACAAATTGGCTGAAGTTGTGAGTGTTTCATGTTGAACTCTTCTGCTCTGCCTCTTGGTTCTAAGTGGGAGTGAATTATGATTTAATTTTTTAAAACTGGTTTTTATTTACATGTTGCTAGTTCTTTACTTCCCATTCCATAGACTTAAATTGCTATAGTGGATGTTTTGTCCATGTTCCTTTAATTAGTTCCTGGGCTGTTTTTCAGACTTTGCATGGCCTTTATTTCTGCTTCACACTTAAAATGCTCATCTATGCTGAAAACTCAAGTCCATGACCTCAAGAACAACTGCAATGTGCAAACGTTTCTCCATAGCTAAGGGTGAGATTGACAACACCAACCAAGGGACCATGGATCACTAATTTTATTGATATTAGTAAGAAATGCTGGATAGACTCTAGCCCGGCCAAAGCATTTAAGCTTTCTTGCCTTATGAAAGCTGCAGTATTTTAGAAGGTGATTCTGGCTCCACAAATTGCATGGGCTACTTGCTCATTTATTTCATGTGCGAATTTGTGGTGGGGTCTTTTTTAAAAAGGAAAAAAAGATGTAAAATCTGCAACTCTTCTAAGGAACAAGGTCTGAATGGTCACTGTAGCAAGTTAAGAATAAAACTTGGGAAGAAAGTAAAGAATTAGCAACATGTAAAATCATTTTACATTTAAAAAACTTGTTTTTAGTTAAAATTTTAAAAATAATGGTTTTAAATAATTTTATCCAGCCTGCTGCCTCTTCTGGCTTTTTATGTTTTGCTCTCTCTGCGCAGGATAACCTGCTGCTGGATATGTACCTGGCACCTCATGTGCGGACGCTCTACACGCAGATCCGAAATCGTGCCCTTATCCAGGTAATTGTTCTCCACAAATCTGCTGTGGAACATGGGAGGGTCAGAGATAGTGGCGCTCTCATCGGAGCGTTTCAGAGGATTGTGTTTGTGTGTGAACCTGGAAACTGACTGTTTCTTGTTTCTAGTATTTCAGCCCCTACGTGTCGGCAGACATGCGCAAGATGGCCACAGCATTTAACACCACAGTGGCAGCGCTGGAGGATGAGCTGACCCAGCTAATCCTGGAAGGATTGATCAATGCCAGAATAGACTCTCATAGCAAAGTGAGTGTCCCCATAGCCCAGCTGTTTCTGATGGCAAGAGCCAGTCTACAGGCTGCGGACTGAAGAGAACAGCTGGCTAGGAATGCAGCACAAATGGCTCTGATCAGCTTTGTGGTAGCAAAGTCTTGGTTAATACAGCAGGAGTGTTGCTTTTTAACGCAGAGTGCCTGAAGAGCATAGTTTCACTCTCTCCCTTTGCTCCTGGATTGCTGTTTGAAGCTTCACTTGCCTGCAGTGAGGGTGTGTTTGGCTAGCTGATACGTGCATGGTTTGAGTCTGGCCTGCTTCCCCGCTTCCTGTGCCCATTCTCCCTGTTGGTTACAGATTCTTTACGCTCGGGATGTAGATCAGCGCAGCACCACCTTTGAAAAGTCCCTATTAATGGGCAAAGAGTTCCAGCGACGTGCCAAAGCCATGATCCTGCGGGCAGCAGTGCTGCGCAACCAGATACATGTTAAGGTGAGCCAAGAGCCCCACTGTCATGGAAGCGAAGATAAAAGGTAACCATTTCAATGACGGGGGGTGGCAGGTTAAAAGCTGGTGACACGGGAATCCAGGGGAGGAGGTTGGCTGTTCCCACAAGAGACAGGATTCTGAGAACACTGGAGAATGCCGCTTGCAGCTAGCAGGATGGCTCCTGGTTACTATATGCTCCAGTCAGCAGGGGAGTAGCTGGTTAAATTCCAACAAAGGGATGAGTTAGACTTTCATAAGGACAGCTGAAATCCAAATGTTGCTTGGCACACTCCTGTCCAAGAGATGATTGCACAGGACTGCACCCTGGAGGAGCAGGCTACTTGCGGTGTGGTCACTGCATTCTATCGATCCTCTCAGCAGTTTGATTCTGTGGTGTCCATGTGCCAAATGGCCATCACATTCTAAATGGGTACTTGATTCAAGTTAGGGGCCCAATCACACACCTTGAATACCTGAAGTTGATAGTTTGCAAGCTGTAAACTGTTGTGTAAGTATTTGTGAATAACAAATTCTTTTGCAGAAATAGTGAGTGATTTATTAATAGAAAAATGGTCAAATCTCATGATGTAGTGCAACTAAGGCCACGCCTTCACTTCCGGGAAGATAGACGCTGTGGTGGTGGATCCTCCAGAGTTCAATTTAACGGGTCTAGTAAAGACCTGCTAAATCAAATGCCGAGGGCACCCCCATTAATGCCAGTATTCCTTGATTTGTGTGGAGTAAAGGAAGTCAATAGGAGTGTTTGCTGTGGAGATGGCACCGAAGGAGAAATTAAGGTATGTTGACTCCACCTATGCAATTAACATAGCTGGAGTGGCATATCTTAATTCGACTTTCAGGTAATATAGACAAGGCCTAAATAAATAAGCTTTGTGCTCCTGGTGTGTAGGGCCCACACTCTCTGCCCAGTTCCATATGGGGAAGAGGGAAGGCTAAGCTGAGAATGCTGCTGTCCTGCTGCATAGTTTACTTGTGCTGAGCAGGTTTTTAGGAGCGTTCTGTTTGTTCCAGCCCATCACTAACCAGGGCTGTATTTTGGTTTCTAATTGCAGTCTCCTCCACGAGAAGGCAGCCAAGGTGAGCTCACTCCAGCTAACAGCCAATCCCGAATGAGCACCAACATGTGAACATCTTCATGTACAATCAAAGACCTCGCCTTTCCCTGCCCCAAATGTCTGTCCTACCATCTAACCACAGACTGAGCGTCACAAACTGCCCCTGCCATTCTCACGCTCTCTCTCTGGTGAGGGCTAGGCGAGGGCAGGGCTGGTGGTGAGGCTGATGTTCAGCTTCTGATCATTTAATTCCTTTTAGATCGGAAGCGGTCGGTAAGTGCAGGATCCCTGGGATTCTGTCTCATTTCAGTGCTAGTTGCGTGTTCTCTGCCCTCTCCTCTGTCCCCAGCACCCCAGAAGGAATGGCTAGCACATTTCAGAGAGATGCTGATCTTGGGTCCCTTCGGCTGCCCTTAGAGCTGGGCAGGATCAGAACGGCGGCTGTAAGTTCAATCGATGGGGTGTAGCTAAGGGCGATTCACTGACCTGGGAGTGCTGCCTTGTCTGAAAGGAGGCCTCCGAGTGCACTGCTGTCAATGTCAGCCAGAGGGCGCTCTCTCTGGAAGCGCGTTCTAGGGTTTCTCACCCACTCTGCGGAAGATGCACTCAAAGGTCTTTCTTTCAGGCTGTTGCACTTACCCTGGATCCAGTCTCTGTCAGTCTGGCATGTCTCTTTTCCAAAGGCTTGTTTCCTCATCTGTTCCCATGGGCAATCACTTGGCTTTGGGTTCTGGTGTTGGTTTATCACCACATTAAGGCTCCATCTTGTGCAAATACCATTGTTTGTCCACTTGATTTCACCAGTGAACAGTGGCTTCTTAACCTGTGCTTGCACTTACCCTGGATCCAGTCTCTGTCAGTCTGGCATGTCTCTTTTCCAAAGGCTTGTTTCCTCATCTGTTCCCATGGGCAATCACTTGGCTTTGGGTTCTGGTGTTGGTTTATCACCACATTAAGGCTCCATCTTGTGCAAATACCATTGTTTGTCCACTTGATTTCACCAGTGAACAGTGGCTTCTTAACCTGTGCTCCGATCCTTTATAAATGGGTTTCAGGTCACAGCCCAACCCTGTAGAGTGTTGTATTAATGAGTGTAGTGAAGTGGTGAATGTTCTGGAAATACGTCAACTTTGCATCATCCAGTCCCAGAGGAAAAAGTGAAGTATTTTCATCCAGCTCAGTCTGGTCCAGCAGAACTACAGACGTTATTGTTAATGCTATTTTTGTTTGCAAATAAGTTGTTATCTCTAGTGCATTAAAGATAATAATTTAACAACTCTGCAGTGCCTGGAGTTCTGTGTTAGTTGCTTTTAGCTTTGTCTTGATTCTTTTGTGTTATGCTAAACAAAACTGGCTGCTGTGTTAGCATTTTGACATGGATGGAAGTGTTTGGAAAGAATATCCTACATTTGCCATGAGGAGGGCAGGGGAGCCTCACCCTCTTGCTTTTCTTGCAGCCACGTGGGAGATCTCGGAGAGAATGCATTCATGTAGCTGCTGAACTGCAGAGGTTGGTTCCTGAAGCATTCTGTGGCTCACATGGTGACAGATGGAGCAGCCCTCACTGTGAAGCCTTCAGATAGGACTTGTCCATATTCTGGAATTGCATTAACTTCGCATTTATCCAGGCCCATCTCTGAAAGGGCTGAACTCACCTTGCCAAGATTTGGTTCCCAGAAGCTTAGTGGTTTTTCTCTGATTCTCAGAAGTTTTGATTCAAAAGGGAAGCAGGAAGCAAATGTGACTTTTAGTCTATATTAAGGCTGTGCAAAGGCCTACGCAGTCCTCAGTGTAAATCAGAGCAGCCTCAATGGCCAGAGGTTGCCAAAAATAGTTAGAACCCAGTGTGCTCTGGCCCCATCCTTCTCTTCTCACTACCCTGGCCAGGGGGTGAGTGAGCTGCTGACTGCTGGCCATCCCTACATAACATAAAGCAGGTAGAAGTGGCTTTCTGTTGCTGTAGCAATGGAAACCGCTTTATGTCCTTAGAGAGAATGGGGCCTTCCTATCTGAGGCACGGCACTCTCGGCCATCTGGTCATCTGCAGAGACGGAGAATACTTTGTTGTTGGGGCAGGTCTACACTATGGGGACTGATTGATCTAAGCTGTGCAATTTGAGCTATGTTAGCAGCGTAACTCAAGTCGACATAGCTTAGATCTACTCGCTGCGGCCACCACCTCCTGTCAACTCCCCGTGCCTCATTCTGGTAGAGTACTGGAGTTGATGGGAGCGGTTGATTTAGCTGGTCTTGATTAGACACCTGGTGTATCGATCATCACAGCATCAAGCCCTGGGCCTTAAACCTGCTTCCAAAAGTGACATCTGCAGTTCCATTTGGAAAGGTCTAGCTCCTACTCAGTAGATAGCAGGCACAGGGGCCTCCATAGGGGAGAACTGCCTGTTGCCTGACCAGAGGACGAAGTGTTTCCACTTTGCCAGGTAGGAGGACCTAGTGGAAGGTTTACGGCTTCCCAGGAGAAATGCCTGGACCTGCTCCGAACACTGCCTGTCCATGGCCATCAGCGATGGAGCTTCCAAACCATGAGGTACAGGGAGCGGCGGTTTGGGTGCTGGAGCCTGCCGAACTCCTGAGATATTAGGTCTAGACACAGGGAGGGCTACAGGAACCAATGCCGATGAGGCCACGCCGGGGCTATCAGGATTATGGAGGCCTAAAATTCCCTTACCCTGAGGATCACCCTGTGGATCAGCGGGAATGGGGGTAAGGCGTTCCAGAAACCCCCGAGGCCAAGCAATCATGAGAGCATCCCCTGGAGACTGTGGGCTGTGGGTGAATAGGGAGCAAAAACGAGGGCGCTTCCTGTTGCTGCGGGTTGCAAATAGGTCCCGGTGGGGAAATCCCCACCCGTGGAACATGGACAGGGCTATGTTCACCCTGAGGGACCACTCGTGGCCCTTGAAGGACTTGCTGAGGCAAACTGCCAACCCGTTCTGGGCCCTAGGGAGGTAGGCGGCCACTGGGTGACTGTCATGTGCCATGCAGAACTCTGAGGAGGAGAGCATCACTGCACGGGACAGGAGTGAGCACCACTCTGTTTATATAAAACATTGCTGACGTGTTGTCAGTCAAAATTGAAACTCACCTGTTTCGAAGCCGCGGTAGGAACACACTACAGACGAGGCGAATAGCTCTCAACTCCCTGACATTGATCTGGAGGGAGAGGTCTGTGGGGCCCTAGATACCTTATGTCTGAAGCTTCCCAAGATGGGCTCCCCAGCCTGTATCGGAAGTGTCTGTCATCAGCTGAATGGATGAGAAACGGCTCCCTTTACAGACTGCTTCCTTGCACAGCCACCAGTTGAGGGATTTCAGCACATCCATGGGCACCGTCACCACCAAGTCCATATGCTGGAACGCTGGGATGTGGGGCTGCACCAGCCATAGCTGAAACGGCCGCAGGCTGAGCCTGGCATGCCATTCCACGTAAGTGCAGACCACCATGAGTCCCAGCAGCCCCATGCAACAGTGGGCTGTCGTGGTGAGGAACGACTGGAACCACAGGATAGCCTCTCTTAGTGTCACAAAACACCCCATGCGCTTCCAAAAAAGCTCCGACAAATTCTATCCACTGAGGAGGGTGGATTTGGCCTCATTTAGGATAAAGCCCAGTCTGAGGAACGTCTCCCTGACCAGGGATATATGGCTGATCACGTGGGATGGGGAGGAGCCAAGATACAAGCCAATAGACCAGGTATGGGTAAACCTGGACCTGCCGCTAAAAGCATTTCCGGAAAATCATGCCAATCTAGACGCAGCCTGAAGGTATTCAGATCCCTCAGGTCTAGAGAGGGTGGAAGCCACTCTTGGCTTTTGAGACCAGGAAGTAGTGGGAGTAGAAACCCTTTCCCCTGCATTCCCAGGGGGCCTCCTCTACCGCCCCCAGGTCGAGGAGTTTCTGAACTTCCACCCTGAGAAGAGGCTCATAGGAGGGGTCCCTGAAGAGGGATGAGGAAGGGAGATGGGGGAGGGAGGCGGAAGCGGAAAGGGATGAAATATCCCCTTCTTTCCGTGTCTAGGACCCAGCAGGGCCACACGAGATGGCACCTCCACGTTCAGGATGTCCACCATAGGATCAGAGTCCTCAGTGGCCTGCTCAAGTTGGACCCCGAGGCTCTGGGCCAGTCTCCGGAGGAACTCTTGATGGGCCCAGGAGTCCATGGCTGGTATTAATGAAGAGGCCAACCCTAGGGCTCCGAGCCGTAAAAAAGCGGCAGCCATGTTTATGCAAATGAAGCGGGGGGATTTAAATCCCCGCTTCATTTGCAATGTGTCTAATTTGCATCCCTTTTATGGAAAAGGGATGCAGTCTAGACACAGCCTCAAAGTACAACTGTAATGGGGGGGGTGTTAGCGAATGGGCAGGTGTCTGATAGCGATCCCCAGGTATCTGTTGTTTGCTGTGTGTACACACAAGTTTTGTCAGTGACCTGGGAGAACACACACTCATCACTAATAAAATTTTCAGATGATACAAAGATTGGGAAACTGGTAAATAATTAATAGGGCCTGTTGTTGCTTTAGAACAATCTGGCCTGAGGGCACAAGGGCTGCAGGGCACCGGAAGGCAGCAGGTCCACACTCCCTGCCAATGATAAGTGGCCAAGTCAGACTGCAGTTTGCCCTTGGGGCAGGACCTAGATGCCAACTGGCAGTGGGTCACTGAGGCAAGGTGGGTCTAGGGGCAGGGGTGCTGTGACAGGGGAGATTCCCAGAATGCGGGGCACTGCTATAGGGCAGTACTGGAAGAAAAGACAGGGTGGGCCTGAGCCAGTGCAGAAGACAGACAATTGTGGGTGAGACACTGGCTGCAGAAGGTGCTCCAAGGCGGAAGAGCTAATTCCCAAGGAGACCAGCAGGAGATGCCCCAGCAGCGAGGCCTAGGCCTGTTACAACAGCAAAGAATGCAGGCTGTCCTCACACAATAGGTGGTGCTGTCCTGGGCCGTACGAGCTCAATTCACCATGAGCCCCAGGCCTTTTTAATCAACTGAAATGAGCTACTTGTCAGATGCTGTGGCCCAAAAGGCTACGGCACTGGGGAAGGGGGAGGTGTGGGGGCCCTGGTTAGATTATCAGGACTTGTGGTGTGATGCAGACACACTCAGAGTGACACGACGTTTGTGCTTGGTCAGTGTAACCGATACACGGGTCAGGTTGGGTTTAGTCCTGGAGGCTGTGCGGACATGTACTGGCTGTTGGCCTGAGATGAGGCTTCCAAGCTGATTCCTTTAGCATGTCCTACAGCTTGGCTATTGTTGACTATAAGGTTGCTAATTACCCGTTAGGCTAGGGAGAGGAGATGGCCTCCGTTCTGAGTGATCGCAAAGGGCAGTTCTGAGCCAGACAGGGGATTGGCTTCAAAGTCTCAGAACCCATCACATCCCCTCGCTCCCTATCTTAGGAATGGTCTGGGTTTACTGGGTCTTGCCTCAGGAGCTCTGGTGGGCCCCTGAGCCCTACATGTCTATGAATTCCTGGTCCTGCCAGGTAGCACAGACCTTGGACTAGTCACGTACCCACCAACTATATCACTCCCCACATCTAGCATCTGGCTATTACTTCCTTTTGCCCACCCTTTAGCTGTGTCTAGACTGCACCCCTTTTCCGGAAAAGGGATGCAGATGAGACAAGTCGGAATTGCAAATCAAGCGGGGGATTTAAATATCCCCCGCTTCATTTGTATAAACATGGCTGCTGCTTTTTTCCGGCTCGGGGCTTTGCCGGAAAAAAGCGCCAGTCTAGACTGGATCTTTTGGAAAATAAAGCCTTTTCCGAAAGGTCCCTTATTCCTGATTTTAAGAGGAATAAGGGACCTTTCGGAAAAGGCTTTATTTTCCGAAAGATCCCCGTCTAGACCAGCGCTTTTTTCCGGCAAAGCCCGGAGCCAGAAAAAAGCGGCAGCCATGTTTATACAAATGAAGCGGGGATATTTAAATCCCCCGCTTCATTTGCAATTCCGACTTGTCTCATCTGCATCCCTTTTCCAGAAAAGGGGTGCAGTCTAGACACAGCCTTTGTGTGTCAGCGGCTCACTTTTTTGACTGGGTAAGTACAGAGCCAAGCACCCTCGCACCGCCTGTTCCAGCAGGGCCTTGAGCCCTTATTGTAACTAGTTAATACTGAAAATGCCATTTCCGTCAGCTGCAATGAGGTACAGACCAGCCTGTGCTCCAGAAGAAATAGCAGTATAACACTCCCGCAGGCTGTTTAATAGCAAATTTAGTCCCAGCTTTTAAAACAGCACATGAAGAGTTAATGCACAACAGACTGTTCATGGCCTTAGTACATCACCCTCCTTCCCCCAGTGCAGCATTTTCAGGCCAGCAGCTCTGGCCAAGTCCTTTCAAAGATGGTGAGAACTTTAGATGCATCCTTTTATTCAAAGGCAGGAGATTTCCCTGAGTAAGCAGCTTTTCCTTAAATAAAACGTGTCCAGACCTTAGAACCAGCCTGTGGAACTATGCCAGGCTGCTGATGGTGTTCTGGAAATGGCAGCTTCTTTGGCCAAGGCACAGAGACAGGGAAGCAGATCCAGTAGAATCCAATTTGAAGGCTCATCGTACAGTGTCAGTTCCCTCCATATCACCTGTCTGTGGCCTTTCAATCTTCGGTAGCTCCATCTGGCTGCTTTTCCACAGAAGGGACTTTTCATATTTGGTTTTAAAAAGTAATCCGTGACCTGTCCCAGAAAGAGGGGGAAACATAATGCATTGAGCTGGACGTACCTGGGCAGTGAGGAGCAGAGTGGGCCACTGCCTTGGGGAAGCTGAGGAATGTGTATTATGCTTTCAGCTTGGAGATGCTGTGCCCAGGCATGCCAAGCGGCAGAGAAGCTGCTGGTGTTATGTTAGTGGCCAGTGCTTGGTAAACTGTTCCATAAAAGCTAGGCCACTCAGGCTTGTAAACTAGTATTTCTAAAACTATTGCAATGCTGTAACCAAAACCATTACTTTATCCTAGTTCTTCTGTATGCATTAATCACTCATTTTGGCTTGGACACTTTGTTTTTCTGCGGGCCTAGTGGCTCTGAAGACCAGGATGGCATGGTGGGCTATACTTGCCTGGACAATCTGCAGTCTCTTTAAATGCTCTTTTCTTACAGCAGCCTCGGCACAGATTAAACACGCACTTGTTACCCTGGAAACAGACAGACACCAATTAAGTCAGGGAAAAGTAATCTCCCCAGAGCTGCTTATGGGAAGCACCACTGCAGTGCTGCAGCCTGCTGCCTTGTCTGGGTTCCTGCAACCAGTGCTGGACTCTGGACTGCTGCTAAACCACATGGACGCAGAGCTGCCTGCTGAGTAACTGCTCGGGGCTTGGAGGTGGTGCTTGGCTTATTTGCAGCTCAAGCATGACAGACTGCACAGGAAGGGACGATGAACACGTATGGGGTAGCATTAGTAGCTGTACAGCTCTTCTGGCTTTCAGTGTTAGGGGGCCGTTGTGCTACAGGCTTTTGAGGAAAAGCATTTCTATCTGATGGCACAGCAGAAGTGACAAAGGTGCTCTAAAGTGTGTGTGTTTTTGTTTGGATGTCAGTGTGGCATTCAGGTTACTTTGTTGTACCACATGCTGTTTCCACATGGCACCTTTCTGAAATTGAAAATGAAGCAGTAAGATATGGCCAGCTCCACCTTAACTCTTCCCCCTCCCAAGAACTTGCCACGGGGCCGTAGCTGCAGGAAAGCTGACGGCAGACACGCTCTGTTTGGCATTACTATGAGAATAATGGAAACATTACTTGGCAACGCTGCAGGTGAGCAATAAGGTATCTGGGATCAGTTTGCAGTGCAGGGCCCTGACAGAACTGAGAGAGGAGGAACTCAGAGTGTGGGGGGGGCGGCTGATCTCCTTGTTTGATCTGAGTTGTCCTTGCCCACTGCTGTGTGACATCAAAACCAAGAGGTGTATGTACCTTGAGGGGCTTGTGCACATCAGTATGCTGAGGTCTATATGCTGTCAGGCACAGTGCATAGGTCCTGTTTACTCAGGGGTGTACTAGGAGAGTGGGTGGCATGGGAGGATGTTAATGAGGAAATGAAAAGGCACCATTTTCTAGAACCCTGTTTGTAAAAAGGGGGTGGTGATGTTTTTTTACAGCGTCTCTGGCGTAGGCTCAGTATTTGTGTAGGACAGACACAGAGCACCTGTGCCACTGAGTCTGCCCAAACACCCGTTTTTGTCTTAGCAACAAGCTGACATTAGACTCTGTCTCCCAGCTGCAACTAGTGCCCGCGACATCTGCAACTATGGGGCAGAGAAAAGAGGGCAGCATTAAGGCTATGTCTACACTGCAGGCTTCTTGCGCAAGAACATCTTGCGCAAGAAAACGTCCACACTGTCACGTGCAAGCTGTGCTTTTGCGCAAGAGCTCCCATGGCAGTGTGTACGCTTTCTTGCGCAAGAAAGCTCTGGTGGCCATTTTAGCCATAGGGCTTTCTTGCGCAAGAAATCCCTGCTGAGCGTCCACACTACCCTCTTGCGCAAGAGGGCTTACACCTGTCAAAAAGGAGCATAGTTCTTGCCCTCTTACCACGCCGTACTGTAAATTTACTTGCGCAAGAGCAGGTGGGCAGTGTGGACGCTCTGCAGATTCTTGCGCAAGAACGGCTGTACTTGCGCAAGAAGCCGCGAGTGAGTGTAGACATAGCCTAAGAGTGCAAGGCTCTGTGCCTGATCATATCAGGGCCTGTTTTTTTAGCCATTTGAACCTCACTAATGAGACAAGCATACCACACCCACGTGCCACAAGAGTGCCACTACTGAAATGGGGTTTGTTTGGGTTTTTGATCGATTAATTTTGTAATTCTATGAAAAATTGGCGCCATTGGGTTTTGTAACCCTGGGCCCTGAGGCAGTTGTAGTTAACATGGGTTTGCACTGCAAATTCTGGGATGTGCTACTCATCTCTCGTGCATTCCCCATTATCTCATCTCAAAGGTAGATCACTGACAGATGGGGAAACTGAGGCAGAGGAGGTGTCATGCATTTTCTAGTGGACCACTGACACAGCCAAAAGTAGAACCCAGGCACCTCTGCTGTAATGATATAGCTGGTTGCTGCCTGTAAGGCAAGATTGGCTCAGCTGAATGAGAATACACCACAAAGGGGTAAACACTGGACAACAACAGTTAGTGCTCTGTGTGCAGCGTGCCTATCCTCAATGGCTCACCCCATGCGCCGCACAAGTGCCTGGTGCATGCACCAAGAGTGCTGGTTCTCAACTGCCGCCACAATGGGTCTGAGCATCCACAAATGCTGAGTCCCATGAAGCACCAAAGGCAGGGGCTCAGACCCCTTCAGAGGGACCAGGTCCCACATTCCAGTTTACTAACACGAGAAGTGTCTTGCTAACAACACTCCTGTTAATGTATCCTACAACGATATTCGCTTTTTTGCAGCAGTGTCATACTGTTGACTCATATTTAGTTTATAGTCCAATGTGAATTCTAGAGCCCTTTCTGCAGCACCCCTTCCTGGACAGTCCTTTCCCAGTTTGTATGTGTGGAACTGATTGTTCCTCCCTACGTGGAGTCCTTTGCTTTCATCCTTATTGAAACTAGTGTTCTGTTACTGCTTAACAGTGTGATTAAAATTGGGATTCGTTTTTTTATTCTTGCAATTAATCGCAATTGATTTTTTTAATTGTTTGACAACACTATTAATAAGCTTTCCCAGTGATGAAGGCTGGATTTGATCTGATATTCCACAATTGCTTTTTCATTAGTAGAACTGTTAGAACTGAAGGAGGTTAATTTTTTTTTCTAATTAAGAGCACAGATCAAAATCCTCCAAGTCTGTCTGTGCTACCACTAGGCACTGACATAGTCTGAAATTCTCATTTACATCTGGGCTACGTCTAGACTACATCCCCTTTTCGTAAAAGGGATGTAAATTAGACGTATCGCAATTGCTAATGAAGCGGGGATTTAAAGCTCCCCCGCTTCATTAGCATAAAAATGGCTGCCGCTTTTTTTCGGCACGGAGCATTGTTGGAGAAAAGCGCCAGTCAGGACTCTGATCTTTCGAAAAATAAAGCCTTTTCTGAAAGATCCCTTATCCCTTATTTCAAGAGGGATAAGGGATCTTTCGGAAAAGGCTTTATTTTCCGCAAGATCAGCGTCTAGACTGGCACTTTTTTCCGACAAAGCTCCGTGTGGGGGAAAAAAGCAGCAGCCATTTTTATGCTAATGAAGCGGGGGAGCTTTAAATCCCCGCTTCATTAGCAATTGCGATACGTCTAATTTACATCCCTTTTACGAAAAGGGGATGTAGTCTAGACGTAGCCCTGATGTATACCTTTCCTTTCATTAGTGTTTTTTCCTTTTAATTTCCCGCAGTCACTGCAGACCAGCTGCTTTTCTGTACTCCATCATTGAGAAGTTTGAAATAATCTGTCTTGTATATCTATTAAGAGACTCACTCAGATGCTTAATCCTTACCGAGAGCTACAAAAATACCCACAATAAATATGAGCTTTGTTACCTAGCAAACAGCAGAGGTCCCATACTGCAATTAGTAAAAGTTCAATTGATTAGGGATTTGCTTACAAGTGTGCCTGGGGAAACTAATACTTAATAATATAACAATCTCTCAGCTGATTTAGCAATTCAAAATTTCTGACAAGCAGGCAAAAAGCCAGGACTGCTCTTTGTAGGAAGAAGAGAGAGCAAGTATCCAGAATAATCTAGTTATGTCATCTTTACCCCTTCACCTCAGCTGACATAATCACTTGCTTAATTAGCACAATGGCCTATACCTGAGAAGCAGATACAGTGTTTGCTTTGAATCAGTTGAAACAGCACCCATTACTGGACACTTGAAAAGGGATGGACCTACCTTTGGGTTTCCACAATGATCACATTTTGCATATTTAGCTGGAAAAAAGAAAAAAAAAGGCATATGAGTATCCCAGCCAGTGAATGACATCCAGGAGAGACCAGCAAATTCAGTGCTTCAAGTTGACCAACATTTGCAGTCAGAAGATGAATTGTTTAGGAGCACTATTTTACCCACAGAAAAAAAATATTCAAACGGGATTAAGAGATTTTTCTGTAGTTTTAAAAAAAATTCTCTGAGATAAGACTAAACCTGGAACCATCAGTCCCAATAAAGCTGCTTGAGAAAGTTCTAAAACAAGTTGGGGAAAGGGGAAGAAGGGAAGTGTTGACAACAGACACTGGATTTCAACTGCACACACCAATGGTTGCTGCTGTCACAACATCTGCAAAATGCTTCCAGAAGAAAGACCTGATTTCACTGTGAAATGGTGACCATCTGCCCCTTTCATAATGAATTCTCCCTTCCTGGTCAATTCCACTTAGACTAAGTGTCCTGTTCCCACGGTTGCTCCAGCAGCTTTCTATTATAATCGTAGGAAATGTTCCCCAGTTGCATAATGAGGAGAAATAGGTGGTGGTTTTGAAGTAAAAGGTGACACTAGCCGCCTTCCCCCTTCCTTGTGCAGAACAGGATGGGGACAGGTTCTCTTACGTTTCAAAGATGGATCAAAGCATTTATTTGGATTTCTCAGTTTTTTCTTTTGTTTATTCTTTGAGAGCGTATCAGCGTTTCCATCATCCTCATCCTCCAGGGCTCGTTTTCCTCGTATGCCTCCTTCACTCCCACTGGTTCCATTTTCCTTGCACATCTCCCTTGGCCTGAAATGGTTCAACAGCATTGTAAGTTAACAAAAGGGGACCACTGTGTGTTCCTTTACCAGCAATACTTTTACAGACACCTTGTCAAAATGCATCTTTTAGGAGACGGAGCTGTTGAAAGCATAGAAGAAAAGCTCAAATAAGAATGGCTCAGAGTTCTGAGGTTGCTATTAAAGCAGAAAGCAGGACAGGAGTGCCCAGTGTGGGACAGGCAGTTGAATTTGTCAGTCCCACAAAAAGCTTTTTGTTCCCATGGTAAATGTTTGTTCTGGAACTCTGTCAGGCAGTCCTTTCCTGCAACCCCGGGTTTCTCGCCAGGTAGGCTGTGTTAACAGTTTAAAAAGATCTCGTAAAACACACAATCATCTCTGATATAAAGGGCATTCAATCCTTGTCTCTATTCTGCAGTGGATGACAATGTGCTGCATTCACACAGCAATACCTGCTTCATGGGCATGTCCTTATTCTAAGTCTCACTTTCTAGATGTAGCCAATAAATATGAGGAGGGAACCAAAAGGGGAAAATATTTTTTTATAAATTACTCCCCCCTATAATATCTAATTGAAACACATAAGGAAGTTTTAAAAATGAGCTGGTCTTTTTTTAAAAAACTTAATTGTTTAGGGCATGAAAACTGGACATGTGGGGTGTGTCTAGACTACATGCCTCCGTCGACGGAGGCATGTAGTTTAGACGTACCCGTGTAGTCTAAGAGGGAAGAACATGTCCATTCTGTCCAGTAAGTTCTCCTGGAGGCAGTGCTAGAGTAGGCCACTCACCCTGGCCTGATGTACGGCTGACAGATCCAATGGAAGAAAGGCAATCCTCCCTTTGGCTTCTCTCCTTCTTTCTGATTAGCTATTTCTTCCTGCAGGACACAGTTACAACCAATTAAACCCGTTCTATCACTACGCCCCAAGAGCACAAAAATTAAATGACATTTACAAATACAAGGGCTGCGTCTAGACTGGCATGATTTTGCGCAAAAGCGGCCGCTTTTGTGCAAAATCTTGCCGCCTGTCTCACGAACCCTGACTTTGTAATGTACAAAATCAGTGCTTCTTGCGCAAATACTCTGACACTCCTGCTCAGGGATAAGCCCTTTTGCACAAGTATTCTTGCGCAAGAGGCCAGTGTAGACAGCAACATTAATTTCTTGTGCAAGAAAGCCCGATGGCTAAAGTGGCCATCGGAGCTTTCTTGCGCAAGAGAGCGCCTACACTGGCACGGATGCTTTTGCACAAAAGCAAATCTTTTGCTCAAAGGCACATGCCAGTAGAGACGCTCTCTTGTGCAAATACTTTTAACGGAAAAACTTTTCCGTTAAAAGTAGTTGCGCAAAATCATGCCAGTGTAGACGCTGCCTGGCAGTTACACGTGAAACAACCCACTCTCAAATAAAGCTATGATATCAACACAGCAGCGCTCAACACTAAGGAAAGAAACTGGAAGGGAGAGGCGAGTATGACAGTTAGCAAACCAGCTGTGATACTGGTAGGTTACAAAGCTCTAAGATACACTGAATGCAGATCAAGTGCCTGTGACACTAGCAGGTAGGGTCAGTGTCAATGTTACTCCTGCAGTTAAGGCCCATGGTGGTACCTGACATCGTAGCTTCAGTTCCCTGTTGACATCTGCAATGCCCTCGAGTGTCTTCACTTTTGCCAGTTCGTCACGAAGCTCCTGGTAAACCTGCAGCCTGAGACAAATCCTCAACATCCAGTTACAAGCGTTTTTTATAGCCTTTATTTGCCGATTGACAAGCATTTAGCTGTTTCATCCTTCAAATCCTAGCTGCTCTGATGTGGTTCTGAAAGTAGGTCAGCATGTGACTGCTGTGATTCATGCTCCTTTACACAAGCTAAGCCTGAAGGCCTAACTTGTGTTACTAGGCCTGTCTGAGCCTTGGCTGTATAGCTACGCTCAGAGCTTGCACTCTGCTAATTATGTATGCTGGCACCCAGACCGAAGGCACGGCCAGTGGCTTCTCCCAATGCCGAAAGCGAGAGACTCAGTTTCCCAGGATGCCTGTGACAGTTAAGGCCTCACAAACATCTTTGTCTCCTTGCAGAGCCAAGAGAAGCTACTCTAACACCAGTAAGGTTGATCAGCCTGCTTCAAGCACGCAAGCTACTCGTCATGCAGGGGTGCCCTCTCAAACCACAAAAGCACTGAGGAGATACTCACGTGTGATGCCAGAGCTTGAAGAGATGAGCTCGGACATAAGACAGTGGGCAAGGATACTGGCACACTATCTCCAGGTACTCCTCAGTCATCTCCCATACCACAGGGTTTCGTCCCTCAAACAGAGCTGGATTATGAAGATTGCCCTCTGGGGAATGACAGAGGAATTAGAAAAAAGTCATGTCTGAGTAGAGCAGGAGGCATAATCTCTTGTGTCCGTGAGCTGGACCAGCTGTGGCCTGGCCACCTAGCCCGGACGGACCATGAGCTCAATCACTCTGACCTCCTGTATGTCATAGCCCTTACATTTTACCCAGTTACCCTTGGTTGAGCCCAATACTTGTATTTGGCTAAAGCAGCACCCAGGATGATAGCCAGGCCTGATATGAAGATATAAGTCTCTCAATGTATGGTATTCTCTGCAGCCCTCAAAGACCATTTGGCTCTTTTCTGCACTGTCTCCAAGTTTTCATGATTTATTTGTGCTCAACGCCGGCCTGGCAGGGGAGCCCTGCTTCTGCGTTGCAGCCCCGAAACAACAGGCCTTTGCCACCTGCACAGGTAGCTTTCAGTGACCACTGGTTTTATTTCCAGTTTCCTTTTTTCCACAATTCTGGGCCAAGAAATGAATACAATACTTTACAATTCTGCAAAAACATTCTGTTATTGGTCAATAACTACATGTGACTCCAGCGTGGCTGTGTAGAACACAGGCTGCACTGAGGAGCAAGCTCACCCGGAAGCCATCGTCTTGCCCAGTACAGGGACTTGACAGTGATGCTGTACCCGACCCTGACACAGTACAAGGGCTGGGCCTGTCCCAGACACACGTCAGGGCTCTGCTCCTCTATGGGTGGGCAGGCTCAGGCTAGTGGGAGCCAATTGTGGGGGGATCCAGGTGTGGGGTGAGCGGGCTCTGTGTGGGGCAATCTGGGGGTGAGTGGGGTCAGTAGGTGAGCTGGATAAAAAGGGCTCACTGAGGGGTTCAGGGGCAATGGGACACTGCAGAGGATCTGGATGTAGGTGGTTGGGGCTCAGACGAGGGAGTGTGGGTGTGCGGAGATGGGTGCTGGGGAGTGAGGTCACAGTGCAGCTGCTTGTGGACCAGAGGGGTTGAGGGGCTGTGTGTGTGGGCCGTATTGAATGGGTCTAGGTGTCTGGGGGAGGGTTTGATGGGTTTGCTTAAGGGGGAGTCTCATCTGCTGTTGAGGGGGGCGCCACATGCTGGGCTCCCACTTCCCCCTGCGACTCCCCATTCCCCTTTCGTCTCCACCCTTCTCTACCTCTTCCCCCACTCCTAAATTCTACTCCCCCTGCCCTATTCCACCCGTTTCCTTCCCTACTGCCTCTTCCCCTCATCCCCCCCCGCCACTTCCTCCCAAGCCAGCCCCACCACTAGCTCTCATAGTGCAGAAAGAGGAAGGTTCCCAGCACACAGAAGGGACGAACAACTAATACTATGAGCCAGGAGGCAGCATTTAGCTGCAGACTCTCAGCAGAAGCTGCCCAGCTTTGCACTTCTAGAAATGGAGGGGGGGGCTAGAGGAGGAGGGCGGTAGGTTACCCCATGTACCTCCCATGTATCACTTCTGTTTGGGCATTGATCACCCCCCAAATTATGCCCAGGGTCAACTGCCTGTCCCTCACAACTTCCCTTTGCTTCGTGTTAGTTTTTGCAGGGAAACTCAGGACTTCTGTGAGGGGTGGGGCCGTTTTCTGCAGACTCAGGCTCGCAGAAGCCCCCAGGAGCATTATTATACAGTGATTCCTGGTGTGAAGAAGAGATGTCAGTATGAGAGAGATGCAGATGAACAGCCTTAGACCAGTGTTTCCCAATTTTAGTTGGCCACGGAACCCCTTTAAACTCAAAAGAATTTTGTGGAACCCCTAATAAGTCTAATATATGGAGCTGAAAAAGTAGCCCCCAATAAGTAAGGGTAATAATAAACAAATGATAAACAAAGTCATGAGAGCAACATTTAGTTTAATTGCACGTATTAAAAAACAAAAATCACATAATATTAATTATTTTTTTTTAAATCATAAAATGTTCTTGTAATGGAATTTTCTCGTGGAACCCTTATTTTCACTTCACGGAACCCCAGGGGTCCATGCAACACAGTGTGGGAAACACTGCCTTAGGCCACGGCCAGCAACCAGCCAGACTAGAGTCTGGCTTTGGTGTCTAATAGCTAGGATGCGTGTTAGCACATGAAGGGGATTCAGAAAGATGTTCTAGATTAGAAGAACACTTGCTCTCTGTACCTGCACTCATGACACCGTGCACTCCTGTCTTCTGCATGCACTCGTCCACATCTCGGAGGTACTGGATGTTTCCATTTGCAAACACAGGAATGCTCACAGCCTTCCTGCACAAGTGACGAGAACAATCATACACAACACAAAACAGAAACCAAGCGGCCCACAATGTGCTGAATGAATCAGAAACGTCTAATGCTGCCACAAGTCTGTTTCCCCTTTGATGCCCCTGCATATTTCAGGTCCAAGCCTCACAATTAAGGGCTATGTCTACATTGGCAAGATTTTGCGCAAATACTTTTAACGCAAGAGTTTTTGCATTAAAGTATTTGCGCAAGAGAGCGTCTACACTGGCATGTGCTTTTGAGCAAGAGCATCCGTGCCAGTGTAAACGCTCTCTTGCGCAAGAAAGCTCCGATGGCCATTTTAACCATAGGGCTTTCTTGCGCAAGAAATTCATGTTGCCTGTCTACACTGGCCTCTTGCACAAGAAGAGTTGCACAAGAGGACTTTTTCCTGAGCAGGAGCATCATAGTTCTTGCGCAAGAAGCACTGATTTCACACATTAGAACGTCAGTGTTCTTGCACAAGAACTCCCCGCCAGTGTAGACAGGCAGCATGTTTTTTGCGTAAAATCATGCCAATGTAGACACAGCCAAGGTGTTTAGTCAGCAGCTTGTCTCCCCCTTGGTTATAGAGTTAAGGGGACTAGGCACACCCATGCAGCTATCTGTATAGAGGCACTTACCTCACAGCCTTGATATGCTCCCAGGACGCCACCCCAGCAAGAGGTCCCTTCTGCTCCTTAGTACGGCCATGGACAGTCAGTAGCTAGGATGCAAAGTTACACTTAATTTTCAATGAACCATTAGAAACAAAAAAACATCACCAAGAAATTCCCCCCTCTGCTCATGCATGACAGGGCTGCCACAGAACTCCCAAAGCTGCCTCGCCCAGCTGAAGTGTCCCTGTTTGCTCAGTTCTGGTATTGCCTTGCTATTCACTTTGGAACAAGTACCAAGCATGGCTAAACCTGCTTCTTATCGGCATAATACCAGGCCACCAGCTCTTGTTTTTCATGGTCCTGCCCAATTTCATTTGTGTTAAATCCTAGGAAACTCTCCATTGCATTTCCCATTTGTTACTGGCTGTGTCCGCTATGACGTGTCCCTTCACAGACACATTGCAGCTGACGAAGTGGGTCTTTGCCCACGAAAGCTTATGCTCCAACACTTCAGTTAGTCCATAAGGTGCCACAGGACTCCTTGTCACTTTTGCAGACACATTGATTTCACTCTTTCATGTTGCCATCTACTGTGTTGCACCTAGATTAGAATTCTCACTCCAGTGAAGGAGGCAGCATGGTGCAATGGTTAGAGCAGGGCATGCTAAGTTAGAAGACTCCAGTTCTAATGCTGATTCTGCTGTGTATGACCGTCTCACTTTCTCCATCCATAACTTAGCAGTTTCCACAAAACAGAGCTCTTTGGATGACAGTGCTATGCAAAGATATTTATGGCTAATGCAATATTAGAGGAAGCAGCTGCCTCCTTACCTGGCAGCCAGCCTTTTCCAGCAACTGTGCATATTTCACTGTCTTGTCAATTTCTGGGAAGACGCGGATTTTGCATGTGATGGGAACAGAGAGCTTCTCATGAGCGAGCAAAACTGGGGAAGAATTGAAAAGTCAGGTAAGTGGATTGCACAACGCTTTGAAGAGAATCTGTTCCCCCGAAGATCTGTGCTGCAGAATGGCCTACAGAGCCAGCACTCCTGCCACAACTTATCAGTTATACCTAGGGGCTACGTCTACACTGGCAAGATTTAGCGCAAATACTCTAAACGCAAGAGTTTTTGCATTAGAGTATTTGAGTAAGAGTGTCTATACTGGCATGTGCTTTTGCGCAAAAGCCTCCGTGCCAGTGTAGACGCGCTCTTGTGCAAGAAAGCGCCGATGGTCATTTTAGCCATCGGGCTGTCTTGTGCAAGCAATTGATGTTACCTGTCTACACTGACCTCTTGCGCAAGAACACTTGTGCAAGAGGACTTATCCTTGAGCAGGAGCATCAGAGTATTTGCACAAGAAGCACTGATTTCATACATTAGAACGTCAGTGTTCTTGCGCAAATGGACATGTGTAGACAGGCGGCAAGATGTTGCGCAAAAGCATCTGCTTTTGCGCTAAATGTTGCCAATGTAGACGTAGCCAGGCTGTGAGTGTCATGGAGGTCACGGAGGCCATGTTTCTGGGACTTCTGTCACTTCTGCCATGGTCAGGGCAGTTGACCTCAGGACTGGTGGAGTAGCTGAGGTGGTCCAGGGGCCAGCTTCACTGGCCGCTGTTAGAGTGGCCTCACACAGCTGGTCCTGGGTGCTGCCCCAGAGCAGAAGTCTGGAAGCAGCACAGCAGGGCCCCAGGCCAACCCACACCTTGGAGCAGCAGAAGCGAGATCCCCCTGCCCTCTCAGAGCAGCCAAGTTTTAGTCAGGGGTGTGCAGATAGTTAATGCTTCCTGTCCCAAGTCCTCATATTCCTTACTTTCGAGGCCCTTAAAAGCTCTCATTTCCTTATTATTCACTCTTTACTCTTATCATATCAACTCCTGTTCATTCTACTCTACCAGCAATGCCAGCCTTGAGCTCCCATTTATCCACTGATTCCACAAATGCTTTTGTGTTTCTCCCTGCTCCCCCGCAGACATGGAAAGTCCTTTTGAGCTGACCAATAAAGTCACCATCATCTTCTCAAGACTCAGCTCTATCAGGATGGTAATGAAAAATTATCATCCAATTAATCATGGCAAAGTAGAAGTTCTGTTCAAGATAGTCAAAATAGCGCATGTCTTTTTTGTATGTATGATCAGCAACCAGTATATTGTGGGGCTACCAGAATAAAAAATAAAATAAGACTAAACAATGAAATGCCCACTACATTTCCCCTATAGCCCAACTTCTTTTGGAGACTTACTCATTTTCTGAAGAAGAGCTGGCACAGACAGACAAAAAGATGATCCTAAAGGATTTTGTTTTACACACATACACAGAGATACAGAGGCACTAGCCACATTCCCGCTCCCCACAGAGAAATACAGAATTCCACTCTTCTACCTAAAGTGGAAGGGCTAGCTCAATCTGCTTCCCAGGATAGCCCAGATTTACAGGATAAACAATGAAACCCCACAGCCTACTTGCTCAAGTGCTCCCCCAGGCTGACCAATGTACAGGCAGTCCCCGGGTTACGTACAAGATAGGGACTGTAGGTTTGTTCTTAAGTTGAATCTGTATGTAAGTCGGAACTGGCGTCCAGATTCAGCCGCTGCTGAAACTGATCAGTCTGGACACCAGTTCCGACTTACATACAGATTCAACTTAAGAACCCCAAGTCCCCAAGTCAGCTGCTGCTGAAACTGATCAGCGGCTGATTCCAGGAAGCCCGGGGCAGGGACTTCCTGTAGTCAGCCACTGGTCTGTTTCAGCAGCGGCTGACTTGGGGAAGTCTGGGGCAGAGCAGCTGGGCTGCTGCTGGGGTGGTCCCCGCAGTGCCGAGGTTTGGCGCTACCGGACCAACCCAGCAGCACCCCCGGTGCCCTGCTGCAGGCGCCCCTAATTCAGCCGCTGCTGAAACTGACCAGGGCTGACTCCAGGAAGCCCGGGGCAGAGCAGCTCTGCCTCTGGCTTTCTGGAGTCAGCCGCTGATAAGTTTCAGCAGCAGCTGACTTGGGGACCCCTGGGGCAGAGCAGCTGGGGGACTGCCGGGGG